CTCGATCCGCACATCCATTGCCTGATGGGCGATAAAGCGACGGCATGGCGATGCTGGCAAAGGTTGGCTTGCCGAGGCAAAGCCCTCAGTCCAGCTAACATGACGGAGCTGGTCGGCTAGTGACGCCGAAGTCTCCGGAGTAGGTTGGTGAAGAGATGGTGAAGCCCCCGGTCCAGCTGAGATGTTGAAGCCTCGATGTCAGCCGATGAGTCGAAGTAGGTCGGCATGATGGACACCAGCTTGAAGAAGCAATAGTGCGGCTCTGCCGATGCAGGTCGTGACATGGTCGATGCCGGCTTGATGAAGTGACCGTGTGGCGATGCCGGTATGCCCGCTCCGTGTAATCTGTGAGGCGACGATGTTGGTGATGATTTATCCTTCGTGATGCCGGACTCTTGTTCGGCTTGCCGAGATGATGATCCGAAGAAGTTGAGCTCGGCTCAACAAAGTGACTCCGTGTCTAGCGCAGGTCGGCAGCCTTGGAGCAATATTGCCGGACTGGTTTGACACCAGCATGATGATGAAGATGACCTCATGGGAGGCTTAAAATTTTACGGGCACGTGTTTAAAAACAACGCACAATACCCTAGAAGAGAATTCCTCTAAAAAGGTTGTCCAATATCACGTTCATAAAAAAAACATGAATTCGGGTCGGATCCGTATTCGCGCAGAAAACGGATCCGAAAATTGGTCCACTCATCGGAAGGTTCCCGGAGTTTGAACGGTCGGATCGAGATGAAATTTGGAAGGGTGGTAGATATGGGAATTCCGCAGTAGATGAACGGTTGGATCTTCCAAAGTACCTCCGAGATGGGTTCTGGAGACCACGCCCTAAACTCGTCCAGATTCCCGTCCAGATTTGACAGGGCTTCGGTATATCATAGATTGTCGGAGATTCCTCCATCGGAACTCGACGAAACTTTGCATGGCTGTTGTAGACGTAATTCCTCACTATTCAACCGAAGCAATCGTCAAATCGACGCTCGAGGAGGTGGTGACGGTGAATACAAGTTAGCTGTCCATAAAAACAGCACGGCCGCCCGAGGGCAATGTTGACGTTGAGCCCTCGAGCTCCATGGATGACTCCTCTATGATCATGATAGAGATCGGAGTTGATGTTGAAGAAGGCTCCCGTCCAAATATGACGATCGGAGATGGAGCACGGTCCTCAGTCGAGCCAAGGTGACCAGTTGAGCCGGCGACAAAGATGTTGGCGTCGCAGTTGACCAGCGGGCGAGCCATTGATCCCTTTGCCGATCACACAGCGGAACTCTCAACGAAAGCACCAATGTCGGTGTCAAAACCGGCGGATCTTGGGTAGGGGGTCCCGAACTATGCGTCTAGGCCGGATGGTAACAGGAGGCAGGAGACACAATGTTTTACCCAGGTTCGGGCCCTCTTGATGGAGGTAAAACCCTACGTCCTACTTGATTAATATTAATGATATGTACAAGAGTAGATCTACCACGAGATCAGAGAGGCTAAACCCTAGAAGCTAGCCTATGGTATGATTGTATATATATTGTTTATCGACTAGCCTGGCCTCGGTTTATATAATGCACCACAGGCCTAGGATAACAAGAGTCCTAGCCGAATACGCCGGTGGGGAGGAGTCCTTGTCTTGATCACCAAGTCTTGTGGAATCTTCCATGTATGCGGCAGTTGTCCGAACTGGCCCATGAGTATACGGCCATGGGGGTCCTCGGCCCAATCTAATAGATCGGGAGACGACGTGGTGAGTACCCCCTAGTCCAGGACACCGTCATAACCAATTATACATAAAAGAATTAAGAGAAGATTCAAATATTATTCATAGATAGACTTGATCATAAACCCACAATTCATCGGTCTCAACAAACACACCGCAAAAAGAAGATTACATCGAATAGATCTCCACGAGAGAGGGGGGGAACAGTGTATTGAGATCCAAAAAGAGAGAAGAAGCCATCTAGCTACTAACTATGGACCCGTAGGTCTGAAGTAAACTACTCACACTTCATCGGAGAGGCTTGGATGATGATGTAGAAGCCCTCCGTGATCGATGCCCCCTCCAGCAAAACTCTGGAACAGGCCCCAAGATGGGATCTCATGGATACAAATAGTTGCGGCGGTGGAATTAGGTTTTTGGCTCCGTCCCCGATCGTTTGGGGGTACGTCGATATATATAGGAGGAAGAAGTACGTCGGTGGAGCTTCGAGGGGCCCACAAGGCAGGGGGCACGCCCTCCACCCTCGTGACCGCCTCGTGGCTTTCTTGATAGAGGGTCCAAGTCTCCTGGATCTTATCTGATGAGAAAATCACGTTTCCGAAGGTTTCATTCCGTTTGGACTCCGTTTGATATTCCTTTTCTTCGAAACCCTAAAATAGGCAAAAAACAGCAATTCTGGGCTGGGCCTCCGGTTAATAGGTTATTCAAAAAATAATATAAAAGTGGAAAATAAAGCCTAATAATGTTTAAAACAGTAGATAATATAGCATGGAGCAATCAAAAATTATAGATACGTTGGAGACGTATCAGGACGAAAGAAGGTATGGGGAGATCAGGGTGCACAGGGGTCGTTAAGGAGGACGGGAAGATCTAAGGTGCTGTTAGGGAGGAGGTGAGAGGTGGCTGAGTTTTTAGCCCCCCCAAAAATGAGGCGCTGCATGGGTAGGTTTGTCGGTTTATGAGGGGTGCCTATCCTGCTAAAATTTGAGTAGGAAGTAGCTCTTTTAAGGAGTTAGGGCATCTCTAGCATATCCCTTAACAGCTACATTTGAGGAGATAAAGTATGTTTTAGGGAGTTAAGCACTATCTTGCTCTCATAAAACGTATAGCCCCTAAAAATATAGCTTTTGTACCTCTAAAGTATCCTTCACTTGCTGGACCGAAAGTGTTGTTCTGATCCCGAGTTCATGTGAGCTCGGGTGAAGAGTAGAATTGAAAAAGATAAAAAAAAACATTGGCAAACGTTTTGATTGATTGCAAAGTTTCATCATTGGATGACATTCATGGAGAACGTGAAAAAAGCACCAAGATGCTTTTGAAAATAACATTTTGATTGGTTGCAAGGACTTCGGCCGCCAATGGCTTAGGACTTTCAACACGACAGAGGAGACGGCATGTGACTATGATGTCGTCGTTGTCCGCCTCTTTGGGACCTGGGCGACGCCGCCTCCATTGAAGCTCGCTCCCTGGAAAATGGGGGTATAGTCCCTCGAGCGGAAGAGCTGGAGGACAAGGTGACGGAAGAGCACCGGGAGGCCGAGTGCATCGACCACGAGTACATCACTATCGACACGGCGTTATTTGGATCCATCCAAGATGAGTGTGCGGTCTAAGACAACCGCGCCAAGCTCGCTCGCCATGACGCTGAGAACAACGCATACTACAGTGAGCTCAACGAGCTGCTAGATGATTTAGAGGACAAGGAGAAGGAGAAGAAGCCATCTGGTCTAGCCACCGTCAAGACAACGAGATCGCCGCCTCCCGTGGGGTGATCGATGTCCCATCCGCTTTCAACTCATCCTTCGACTAGGACAGCGGCTTCGGTTTAAAGTTTGATGAGTATCTTAGGCGTTGTTTGGTATCACTCTGTTCCATAACTCTGGGAGAGGAGTTGGCGGAGCTGCAGTTTAAAACATCGGAGTTGCGGTTTTCTCGCTCTGCAGATTCCAGGAGCAGGTGATTACCGAACAGGGCCTTAACCGCCTCCACGGTAAATAGAGCTACGTAGTATTTAGCATGTACTAGTATGTAGATCGATCCAAGGGCTAGTTTGACGTCGATTTGGTACGTATTATAGTATGTATGCAATGTAGTTATGGTTTGTACAATGCTAATGAGTTGGCGTTATCGAATTATCAAGACCTGGAGATGCCTTACCCTCGATGTTTTGAGGAGTTAAATTTTTTAGGGAAAGGACTATTTAGATAAATTAAAATAATGATTTTTAGGGAGTTATGAAGATTTGAGGGAGAATTTAAAATGCTTCGTGCCCGTGGCAATGGCCAGTGCAATTTTGTGTCAGCGGGTGCGGTCATGCACATGCGCCCGTGTCAAATAGTGTCCTAGCAACTTTCTTGTTCGGTAGACATAGATCAATATACTATTAATAAGTCTCTGGTGCTATAGCTACCAAAGCTGGAATAGCTCAGTTGGCTAGAGCGTGTGGCTGTTAACCACAAGGTCGGAGGTTCGAGCCCTCCTTCTAGCGATATTTTTGTCATGTTTTTATTATCTCCATCTTTATATTTCTTCCAAATTCCAACAGCCTTGTGTCTGGATTACCTTTTTTTATCATCATTTCCCTCATATATCCTACTAAAAATTCCCACTACAAGTTAGCATTGGGCTGCACACAGAAAAGATTCCTGAATATGAACGAGAACTTGGTTATCTTCCTTTTCCTCACCATGTGCATGTGCATGTATATATACATTCTCCTTAACAAAACAGATCGAGCTAGTTGCAAAATAATCCACCACAAAATCTTTGTTGCTCCGTCTCAAACAAACAGATGCACAAATGAACAAGAAGCAGAATCTCCACATATACAAGAAGCAACAGCAACCTGATACAGAAAGAAATCCAGCGTTTGTTTATCTTGAAACAAACACCGGGAAAAGAGTACAAGATTCCTTCCTTCGGAGACACAACACAACAGTACAGCACCAGCACGCAGGCCAGCTAGTAAGTAGGCTTCTACTTCCCAGCAAGCAAGCAAGCAATCCAGCCTCGCAGAGCTTCTTCCCCGATCAATCAGATGCAGGGATCTCACTCAGACCTCACACCCACACGCACATGCGCACACGGTACAGCTCGCCCATGTGCCCGCAGCAGCCACGGAGCCGCCCACTCACTAAGAACACACAATTAAAAACTTCTTGATGAGCTCCTGGAAAGAACAGCAGAGCAACATGAGGGACAGACAAACAAATCACTGCCCATTAACAGGAGCAGTTGGGGGCACAGTGTAGTCTGTCCAATTAACTATTAACTGGTGCAGATGTACTACTAATCAAGCAAAGCTCAGTGTAAAAGTGTGAAGTGTGTACGGCATTATTACCACGGAGGAGAGCGAGGGGGAGAGGCTCTTCTTCCTGACATCGGCCGGGAACCCTTGCCCGCCGCCCAGCTTGCGGCTCAGCATCATGAGCTCCTCCAGCGTGAAGGCGCTCCTCAGAGGGCTCTGCCGGTTGGTGGTCAGCTCATGGTCATCATCGTTGGCCACCTCCCAGCTCCGCTCCGACGGCGCCCGGGGGAACTGGGACTCCCGGGCAGAGGTGTTCCCGCTCGAGTTGCTGTAGTCCTCCGACTCTGAGAACGAGTACCAGGCGCCATGGCGGCTCGACCCGTCCGCATAATCCGCGGCGCCGGTGGACGCCTTGCTGTCGTCGGGAAACCCGAACGCTTCCAGGTCGAACCCCAGCGTGTACTCCTCATCATCTTCGGCCACAAAAGGGTTCAGTGAGTAAGGAGATACCGAAAAGCCGGCATGACGATCGGACGGTGCATGGAAGCGTGACATGTCTTGTAGGGGCTTCCCAGGCTTCTCTTCCCACTGGAATGGCACGCTGACAACAAGCTTGGCCGGGGATGGACATGAGAAGACTGTCGGTGATGGCTTGGTGGAGATCGCCCAGTCCCTCTTCGGCGCGCCGGGCTTCACCTCCCACAGAAATGGCACCGAAATCTGTTGCTTGGCGCGCTCCCTCGGGTTGAATTCAGGCAGCTCGAACTCCTCGGCCATTTGGAATGTATTGGTGGGTTGGGGATGAAATCTGGACTGCTGCAAATCTTGTATTTAGTGCTGGTATATGTAGGGAAGGATATTGTGGGTTAGATGAGCTGCCCCTGCTTCAAAAATGTTAGTTCAACTGTTCCCTTTGCTGAACCTGCAGCTACAAGCTTGATAAAAGTTGATACACCATTGGACAATAACAACTCCTCTTTGGATCCCACAAATAAAAGGAGTGTTTAGGTCTGACCATGAAGATAAAAGGTTCCCATTTCCCAATCAGAGCGGTCGCTCTTGCATTGGCATTTTGCATGCATGCATAGATAAAAGGAGGATATCTACTTGGTACAAAATTAGTAAGAGGAGATCCTGAGGAATTAGTGATTCGACCAAAATAGCCATTTATTCAGCAAACAGATCTAAAAAAAAGTATAGATAATGAGCAGACAAATCTAAACACATTTATAAAAGGACTGGGGCCACAATAATAATAATAAAGAATTAAAGAAGAAATGTGATCTTCATCTGTTAAAAAAATCAGAAAACCCTTTTCCTGTTTTAACATCCTATTCTGCTACTATGTTCCAGATAGCAGAACATCAAGAATTAGTCCTAACAGATTCCAAGAACTGCACCACCTCCGCCATGCTTGGTCGGCTTGATGGTGTGTTGGAAGTGCATACCAGGCCTAGTTTGAGCACTTGGACCAACTCGGCTTCAATGAATCCCCTCAGGCTCCGATCGAAGCAGTCCGATTTAGTACCATCCTCCAGTGTCTCTCTGACATAGTCGCGCAAAATCACATGTATAGCAGCCCCAGGGCTCTCCACTGGCTTCCGCCCTGTCACAATCTCAAGCAACACCACCCCAAAGCTAAATACATCGCTCTTATCACTGTATCTCAAGCTCGGGGATGCTAGCTCCGGGGCAATGTACCCGATGGCAGCATAAGATCTGCTCACTTCAAAGCTACCTAGAATAGGCAACAGCTTTCTAAATCCATAGTCAGACAGCTTGGCTTCATATTCTTCATCTATCATTATGTTTGAAGACTTGATGTTGAGATGCAAGACTTGTGGTCGGCAGTCATGGTGAAGATATGCGAGTGCACGCGCCGTTCCAAGTGCAATCTTAAACCTCCGATCCCAGGAGAGCTCACCTCCGCTGCTACTTCTGGAAAACGCGCGACGACGGTTCCCATGGAGGTGGTCATACAAGCTCCCTTTGGTCACAAACTCCGACAGGATCAATTGCATCGAGGACGACCAGTAGTAACCCTGGAATGTGACCAGATTGGGGTGGTTGAGGTTACCAAGCTGCCCCATCTCATGCTCAAACTCATCCTGGTTTGTCAAACTTCCGAGTGTCTCCAGTTTCTTCACGGCAATGGACAACCCATTCTCAAAGGTGGCCTTGTACACCGTGCCAACTGACCCTCCACCAACAAGGCAGTCTTTGTCAACCAGTGCCTTGGTTCCTTCCTCCCAATCTTCATACCTTGAAGGCAGGCTCTTGGTGAAGAGCACCAACTTTCCAATGATGGCAGTTTGGCCTGGAGATCCGACGGATATGCTCTCGGAGACCAGCACCTCTTCGTCCTCCTTCCCTTCCTGCTCCTCCTTACTCCTCATTGTATAGGCCCTAATGTTCATAGCACAGACAATGCAGACCCCAATAAGTATGAGCGCTGCAGCGACAATGACGATTATGATAGCGACTGACAATCGTCTTGCTCGCTGTCCACCACACAGATTGTTCAATGGTGATCCACATAGTAATGGGTTTCCCATGAAGGCTGTGCTGCCGAAATTCTGCAAGACCGGAGCAGAAGGTATGATGCCGGAGAGACCGTTGAAGGACACGTTGAAATGTGTCAGCTTAGAGAGGTTCCCAAGTTCTGAGGGGATTGGCCCAGTCAGTCTATTCTCTGAGAGGTCTAGCAGATCAAGGTTGGTGAGCTGAGCAAGCGACACCGGAATGCCCCCGTCGAGTTGGTTCTTGTGAAGATCGAGCATCCTGAGGTAAGTCAGGTTGTTGAGGGTGTCCGGGATCACTCCCTGCAATTTGTTGCCAGACAAATTCCTGCAATGATTCAGTTCAGTTAGTCATCATGCATCAAAGCATTGGACGAATTGGATGAAATTGAGTACTGAACGAACACTCACAGCTCAAGCAGGAACTGGCATTTGCTCAGGGACACCGGGATGTCTCCGGTGAGCATAAGGCCGGCAAGGTCGAGTGTGACAAGCATCTCAATTCCTCCAAGCTCGGCGGGAATTGAACCGGTAATGCCTGTGTTGCCGGCGAGCCTGAGCTCGGAAAGCGACCGCAATGTCCCGATCACTGGTGGTATGTCTCCGGCAAGAGCATTCGCCCCCAAATCCAGCACCCTCAGGTTGCGGCAATTCACCACGCTCTCCGGAACCGGGCCGGCGAGCCGGTTCCCCGACGCGTCGAAGTATAAAAACTTGCTGCCGCAGGTGGCAATGTTGAGGATTTCGCCGTCGAAGGCGTTGGAGGAGACGTTGAAGTAGGTGATGTTGGCGAGGCCCAGGAGGCCGAACGGCGCGGCGCCGGAGAAGCGGTTGCTCCCGACGTCGAACAGGTCGATGCTGCGGCAGGCGTCGAGCTTGCCGGCGATGCCGCCGGAGAGCTCGTTGCTTCGGACGGAGATGTAGTTCATCTCCGGCGGCGCGCAGAGCTGGTCGGGGAGCTCGCCGGAGAGGCGGTTGTAGGAGAGGTCGAAGCCGGCGAGGCGGGAGCAGTTGGCGATGCCGGGCGGGACGGCGCCCCGGAGCGCGTTGTGCGCGAGCGAGACGTAGCGGAGGCGGGGGCAGGGGTCGAAGAGCCCCGGCGGGATCTCGCCGGAGAAGGCGTTGTAGGAGAGGTCGAGCAGGCGGAGCCAGGGGAAGGCGCCGAGGAAGGGCGGGATCTCGCCCGACAGCGCGTTGCGGCTGAGGTTGAGCTTGTGGAGCGTGGGCGCCAGGGAGGCGTAGCCCGGCGGGATCCCGCCGGAGAGCGCGTTCCCGAAGAGCGAGACGGACTCGAGCGCGGGGAGGCGCGCCAGCGACGGCGCGAGGGTGCCCGCCAGGCCGGCGCCGTGGAGGCGCAGCCGCTGCACGGCGCCCGTGGCCGGGTCGCAGGAGACCCCCGCGAAGTCCGCGCACGGGTCGCCCGAGGGCTTCCAGGACGCGAGCGCGCCGTCCGGGTCCGCGGTGATGGCGGACTTGAAGTCCAGCAGGATCCGCCGCTCCGCCGGCGTCGCCGCCTCCACCAGCGCCCGCGGCGCGGCCCAATGCAGCAGCACTGCCAGAGCCAGCAGCGCCAGCGGCGCGAGGGATCGGCGGGCGGGGGTCATCGCGAGAGCAACGGCGGCGGCACGGCGCGCATTAGCTCCTCCTCCGGGGTCCGGGCGAGGATCGGCTCCGGTGGACAGTGGGAGTGATGAGGTCTAAGTATAGTCCAAAGAAAGAAAGGGAGGGGGTTAACCGGTGAGTAGGTGGCGGTGGGTGGCGCGCGTTAATGTGCGGGTGCCACGGCGAACCAACTGCCACTTCCCCAGTACTTGCGCGCCGGCCGGGCGATGGCCTGACGCTTGACGTCGGTCCGGTCGGGTTGGTCCGGTGCGCAGCACAGCGCCGGGACGGGGTACGCGGGGGTTTACCTGGGAAAATGCTGAAATCTAGGCGGAAAAACTGCTTTCTTTCCGGGGCGAGGGAGGGGTCAAACCTCCAAGCCTAGGGTGAGGGGAGGTGAGATGATGATGGGGGAGATCGGGTTGGGAAAAGGGCGGCGAGGCGTGGTGCGCGTGTGGCCCAGACGAGGATTGTTTTTTCTTTTTTTTTTGAAAGGCAGACGAGGATTGTTCATCCAGGCGCGTCGCGACTGCAAAGGCAAAGCGCAGGTTTGGGTGGGGAACCGGGTGGATCGCTGGCCGCGCATGGGCGGCAGGGCATAGCAGCAGATAGGAGGTGGGTGGGTGTGGGGGAATCTCCTCCTCCGGCTCGCTGGCGATCGGCGGCACGCGGGCTCCGTCGCTGTCCGGACCGCTGTTCCCCACTCTTTTTTGCTCCTTCGTTTCGTTGGAGCGGAGCGCAGCACGGCGGCCGCGACGTTGCTCCGTCCGTCGTTAAGCATGCAGCAGCAGGCGTGGGTACGGTACATTACATTGCATTGCGTACGCCACGACACGCGTGTACGTGCTGGTACACATGCCTCGGTATGACGATGATTAGGTGGTGGTTGCGTGCGCCCGTCGTGCCAGTACCGCGCACGTACCGGCATGTACGCCGATCCAGCAATTATCAAGAGTGTGTAATGTATAAGTGCCCACGCCGATCGGTAACCTTGGTTGGTCCAGTCTCCAGTGGCTGTTTATTATGCACGGCGCGCGCGGTGGCCGGATAGTTTAACCGGCAGGGAGGGAGGCAGCCGGAGTGGTGGCGTGGACCAGAGGCGGCGCGCTTTTCGTTGGAAGCCGCGTGCCTTTCTGTCGGCAATGATTCCGTTACAAACCCCAGAGCCAGAGAGAACGGTAATCATCCTCACAAATCATGGGCGCCACTGACTGCCACACTTGCAGCTCGGCTCAACTCGGCTCAGGGTTTGATTAAAAAGAAGAGACATTATGGTATGCTAACGTCTCTGTCGAGAGCTTCCTTTCTCTTTCTCTGCCGAGCTTGATGCGTCTCTTGACAATTGGCATGCATGCCATGCCATTCCATCAAACGGCCTGAATCGACCACGATATCTGCTCCAGAAAACTACAACTACTAGTAGGAGTACATATCACTGTTAATTCCCTTTCGCGCTTCCTTTTCTAATGTCAGCTTCAGGAAATGAAAAACAAGTGGCCCAGCGTATTTTCACAATCCTGCCCTCATTCTATCTATCTCCCGCTCCCAGCGACCACGGTCGTAGCCCCCCGCGTCCGTCAAAGAGTTTTTTGTGCATACAAGTTAGATATGTCAAAAGCATATGATAGAGTTTATTGGAAAGACTTGAAGCAAATG